AACCTCAAAGCCACAGTTCTTAGGGGGCCTCCAAGAATCATTACCCAGTGACATAGATCATTTTGTCTTAGCTATTTTTTTTTGAGACAGGGTCTACTGTAGCCTCAGTTGGCCTCAAACTGACTATACAGTCAAGGATGACCTTGAACTTCTGAGCCTCTGCCTCCCAAGTGCTGGAATAACAGATGTATACCATAATACCCAGTTTATGAAGTGCTGGGGATGGACCCCAGTGCTTCTGCATGCTAGGCAAGAACTCTGTCAACTGAGCTATATTCCCTGTCCAGCCCTCTCCACTGTAATGCTGAAACAACTACACACACACACACACACACACACACACACACACACACACACACACGAAGAGTTCAGGGGGGGCGCAATTTTCTCCCTTAGAATAAAATCCTTCCCCTTACAGACATCCAAGACCCTTTGTAATCTAGCCACATCTCCAGCCTTCCCTCTCACCATATGGTTATAGATAACACAACCACCTGGAATTGCTACCACCCCCTAGAGTGGTTCATTCACTTCTGGTCTGTGCATGGGTTACTTATAGGTCTAGAATGTTCTCTCAGTGCCAATTTGTAAACCGAAGTTTCTCTGTCCTGCCCATCCCACTCGGGCAGCAGCTGTTTTTATAAAATAATCACTCAGAGGTTTAATATTAACTGCAAACTCTTTGGTCTATGGCCCGGGCTTATTGCTAACTAGCTCTTTATCTTAAATTAACCCATTTCTATTAATCTATGTATCACCACCTGTCTTGTGGCTTTACCTGTGTGCCATTATTTCTTGCTCCCCTGGCAGCCCTCAGCATTACCTTGACTATACCTTCCTTCTCCTTGTATCATTCCTTGGATTTCCCCCCTGGCTATAACCTGTCTTGCCATAGGCCAAAGAAGCTTCTTTATTAACCAATGGTAGCAACACATATTCACAGTGTACAGAAAGACCTGCCCACAGCATCAATTCTTTAGGAAATCAATTTAGGGATCACTTAATTGAAGGAAGACTTCCCTGATCCCAAGTTACATAGATTCCACGGATTTCTTTCCAGGTTTCACTGGATTGGGACAACTTACAATCTCTTTTGTTGATTCTCCACTTGATAAAGCTGTGTAGCTTCAGGTATTTTCTTACAGTAATGGAAAACTGAGTAACACAGATATCCAGAAAGCAGTATTTATTGGATCAAAAGGTGTTGAGTGTCTACACACAGATCACAGATCAACTTGTTGATTCACTGATTAATAAACTGCTGGACTTTTTCTACACAGTGGAGCAACCACTCAAGCACATCTTTCTGTCTGGAGCTGTTTCTCCTTTCAGAGCCTTTCTTCAAAGCATGAAGAGGAGGAAATAGCTCATGGCAGGGGAAGGCATCTGTCACATGACTGCCCTGACTGATCAGAATGGCAAAAAGGACACCCAGAGCCTACAGGCATCTGGAACAGGTCTTAGTACAGGAGGTTTTTTTTTCTACAATTCAAATTTCTCTACCAATGGATACGCTTCCGTTCACATTTATTACTGGTATGGGATTTTCTGTCTCTCTGGCTCATCTGCATTCCCTCAGTAAACTGAATGGGAATTGGTGATGCTTAGTCATTAAAAATCACCCATGTTTGGTGGTTAAATGTCCACAGAACATCGTGTATTTGTTCAGTTAACTTTCATGGAGCAGAAATGCCTGGCTAGGTCCTGCTCTTGCCTTTGGGAGAAAGGCAATAACAGGATAGCATCCAAGAGGTCATCTCTGCCTTCAGAAAAGACCAGCCCAGCAGTCAGAGGAGGGGCCGTTGGAGTTATCTAAATGGCTGGGTCCTTGCGTGAGTGTGTGCTTATTGATGGCAGTTGAGATAAAAGGTCTTTCTTGGTACCTATGACATACTCAGACTTCAGCTCCATTATCTCATTCAATCCTGACAACTTTAATATATTTCAGATCCCAGGCCAGGCCCACACTATCCTCACAGAGCTGAGATCCCAGTGAAGGTCTATCAGCCCTCAGAGGTCAGGCCCTGTCCATTGCACCACCCCAGTAATCTGAGCGCCTATCCGGGTCTTTTAGTAAATACTAATGATTAGGTATGGTAGTGCTGATCTGTAATCTTAGCACATGGGAGGCTGAGGTAGGGGGCTTACCATGAGTTTGAGATCAGCCTGAGTTACGTAGTGATGCTCTGTTGCCATTACATATATTAAAACAAAACAAACAACAACAAAAACCAGGTCTGGGGATGTGGATTGGTAGAGTGCTTGTCTAGCATGCCCAGACCCTGGGTTCAATTCCCGGCACTGCATGACCCAGATGTGGCTATACATATCTGTAACCCTGGCACCTGGCACTGAAGAAACAAAGACAGAAAGAGCAGAAGTTCAAGGTCATTCTTAACCACATAGAGAGCTCAAGAACCTGAGTTGTATTCCCAGAACCCACGTGAAAATGCCAGACATGGTGGTGTGTACCTGTAATCCTGGCACTGGGGGCACAGGGACTGGATGATCCCAGAGAGGCTGGCCAGCTAGTCTAGCCTAATGGATAAAGTCCAGGCCAGTGAGAGACCCTATCTCCAAGGAGGTGGGCAGCATCCCAGAGGTTGACCTCTGACCTCCATGCCTATGCCCACACACACATTCATGCACACACACTAAGATTGAAAGAATGTTAAAGGACCAAAAGCCATACCAGCACCGTTGCCAGATCTAAACAAACCCCACTGGGAGCTCTCGGCAACTTTAAGGCCAGCAGACATCAGTAAATTGAAAACAACCGCACACACCATTAACTTGCAAAGAACAATTGACGATAAACAACGGTCCTCTGATTTACTTATTGTTCATGGGTGCCTGATGGGACAAGGACACCACCGTTTGTGATATCCCCCCCCCCCCGTGCTCCCCCCCGCCCCCCACCTCTTTTGTCAAACCTCAGCAAGCTGGAGGGGCTGTTGACACTTGAACAATAGCACGCAGAGCAGCAGGGGACCGCTGGCATTGGGAAGGACAGATGAGGTACTGTGTGGACCTCCTCAGGGACCTTCACCTCTGAACCCTCCTGCTGTGTACACTGAGGCCTCATCCAGATGACAGTGGCCAGGTCCCTTTGCAAATCCCCAGGGAAGCTGTTTGCAGAGGAACTGGAAGCACAACCTTGGGCAAAACCATCACTGTAACTTCCCTTCCTACAGACTGTGCTCCATCTTGCAGGATGAAACCCTCTGCCGCTGACTTTTGTTTTTTTTCCACAGAGAACAACTCTTCCCGGGTTTTCTTTCAGGGGAATCTTCAAACTGCCCCGCAAATCCACCAGGAGTCACAGAGATTGGCAAGTCCACCCCATGCTATATTCTAAGGCTTTGAGCAATCTCTCCTAACCAGAGAGTTTCGGCGCTATAGAGAATTTTATTCTTTTACTAATATGGATTGCAACGGACCTACAGTGTGTGGGAGGCAGATGTACTGACTTCCCCCCTTAACCCAGAGGAAATGCCCATCCTTGACTAGAGGACTGGGAAGGATGGCACACACAAGAACTACTGTTCAAATAAATACTTTGAGCCTCTGTTTGTGACAGCACCTGGGGGAGGGGGGTCCCTACTGACATAACCAGGTCACAGCTCATTTCCCTTCCAATGGCTTCAGAGTGGTGTTCCATACCCAGCAGTTAAAAAAAAAAAATTACTGAGGGAAATCAGCAAAGGTGTTTTCCTTCCTCAGTGTGTCTCTCTTGTGAGAAGTTGATATCCCATAGGAATCCCTGCCCCCTGGCCACGTGGACCCAGGGACCGGCACTCGGAATAAAGGAGTGACCATCTGCTGGAAACTGGCTTTCAGAGTCATCTATGGAGGCATGAGAAGCTGAATGGAAGGAAAACCTTCTCCTTGGGTCTGAGCTGAGAGGAGTGGTTCACCCCAGAAGGAGACTGTGGGGGCGGACACAAATCAATGTAGAATTTGTGGATGGATGTGTGCTCTGGGCCCGTGTACAATTTACAAGATGCCAAGTGAAAAGAAGAGAAATTTCCTTTCTCCCTCGCTCTTCCTCTCTCTTTTTGCTCCCTTCCAGGCTCCAGCGGATTCTTAAATCAAAACAACTCTTTAGAAGAGAGCCTGAGACTAGGCTAGAAGTGAGTTTCCTCAAAAGGCAGGAGGAAAGAGGTGACGGATCTCTGGGAACAGACAGCAAGCATTTTTTTTTTTAACGTAGCAGCATTCCGAGTCTAGGGAGCGGGGATGCCTGGGGGACAGGTGTTAACATGGTGCACCTCTGGGACAATTTCTGGAGAGAAAGTTGTATGGCTCGCACGGCCATCTTCGCTCTGAGTGGCAGATCAGGGGTTACTTTCAGAAAAGCAAACTGAGTCAGGGTGACATCCTTTTTTCACGCTCACCGGGGGTGAATGGACTCAGCCAGGAGGAAATGCTTTTGCACAAGCCAGAACCGAACTAAAGATGTTTTTTCCCCCCAATTCTGCAGACCACCTGAGCAGCTAGGTGAAGCCAGGGCCAAAACAAATAAATGAGGAGCACCCTCCAAGGCGTCCCTTCCCTTCCCTCCCTTCCCTCCAAAGCCCAGGGAATCAAGACTTGATTTGTCTCAACTCGGTCCTGAGCTGAGGGACCAGAGAGGAAGGAGAGGGGAAGAGGGAAGCCAGAGGGGCCAGGCAACATCCATGCAGTTAGTGTCTCACTGATTCAGAGACACACGAGCCTGAGTGCCAGCGGTAAGGACCATACCTCCTGCTGATCTCGGGAGAAGTGCTCCAAGATCCATGGCTGTGGAGTTGGGGGAAGAGACGCTAAGCCATCTGAAGGAACAGAGCACTGCGGCTCCTCAGCCTGGCGGGCCAGGGCGAGCTTTAATTAACAGGGTCTGATCCCTCTTCTTTTTTGGTAACTGAGCAGATTTAAAGGGCTAGAGACCCAATTTGAAGGGTGCTGCTGCTGCTGCTGCTGCTGCTACTCCCGGCTGCTGCTGTGGCTGCTCCTGGCTGCTGCTCTCCGCTTTCTGCAGATTGCTAGTTCCAGCGAGGAGATGGAGCCAGGAGGATAGGAAACAGGGCTGCTCATGCAGGGGGCTCTCGGGGAATGAGGTTGGAACCTGGACCACGGACCTAGGCACAGCCAGCACCAGTAAGTACCAATGTCCTGCCTGCTGTCCTCTATGGCCAGGAGGAAGGGCTGCTCTGGGGGGTGGGGAAGGGGGAGTGTTGCAGGTAACATCAAGGGCACCCTGTCTCCACATGAGTCTGGGCAGGACATCGGCCAAGGAGAGTAGGAGACAGTTTCTGTTCTGACAGGATTGCTTGAGGACAGCCACCGTAGAATGCACACATACATACACAAGCCTGCCCATGCACACGCAAGCCTGCCCATGTACACTACACACAGGCTTGCCTGGGTACACACACCTGTGTACAGACACCTATGTGGGCTAGAGAGATGGCTCATCTGTTAAAGGCTAGGCTCATAGCCAAAAAGATAGATATCTATGTGCACACAAACCAGTCCATGTGCACACATGCCTGTCCATATATACATACCCGCCTGTGTACAGGTCTCATCACATACGCACGCACGCATGCACACACGCACACACACCCCTACTTAAGTACATACATACATCCACTAACATACAGTACATGCCTCCCCACTACCTTCCAGTGCCAGAATGTTAGCCAGGTTCATGTCCCCTACACCTACAGCTTACAGGAATATGACCAAGAAAATCAGTGACACCAAGCAGAACCAAGAGACTAGCCTGGAATTAGACATCCACAGACATGAGAAAAGGAATAAGATGCAAGGAATGTTCACTGAGTCCCTGCTGCTTCTGAGAGAGCAGGGACCTCACTGGGGACCACATGAACTTTTTTTTTTTTTTTAAGGATTTGTTTTCTTTTTATTTTCTATGACTACCTGTGTGTCTGTGCACATGAGTGGGTACCTGCAGAGGCTGGAAGAGGGTGGCCCAGATCCCTTGGAGCTGGAGTTACAGGAGGTTGTGAGTCTTTCCCAAGTGGGTAGGTGCTGAGACCTGAACTCAGGACCTTCAGAAGAGCAAGATGCACACTTAGCTGATGAACCATCTTTCTAGCTCTGGGAATCATGCTAATTTTTGAGACTGTCACAGCAGAGACCCTTTGACCCTATGACATTTCCCCACCCTGCTCCTGCTAAGGCAGCCACTGGCCTCTCTGGGGTCTCCTCCCTGGCCACTCCATGCTTCCGTTTCAAGTATCCTTAGTCAGTGCAGTGAGTGTACGTTACCAGACATTTTGTCTGTGGGTATGTGTATGGAGGGGGCTGCATGCATGTGGGTGGGTGTGTTTGCAGAGGTAAGGGCTCAAGGTCCAGTGTCTACTTTTCTTGCTGTTGTTGTTTAATCATTTATTTAAATTTATTTTATATGCATTGGTGTTAAGGTGTTAGATCCCCTGGAACCGGAGCTACAGTTGTGAGCTGCCATGTGGGTGCTGGGAATTGAACCCGGGTCCTCTGGAAAAGCAGCCAGTGCTCTTAACTGCGGAGCCATCTCTCCAGCCCCACTCACCTTGTGGGGTTTTTTTTGTTTGTTTGTTTTGGGTTTTTTTTGTTTTTGTTTTTTTTTTAAGGCAGGGTTTCTCACTGGCCTGGAGCTCAACTATCTGGCTAGGCTGCCTGGCCCATGAGTCCCATCAACCCTCCCATCGCCATCTCTGGGATCACAAGCACATACCACCATGCCTGTCTTTTTATACAAGTGCTTGGGATTCAAACTCAGGCAGGTCCTCATGCTTACAGGCAGGCACTGTACCAATGAAGTCATCTTCCCATTTTTTCATCCCATGCCCCCTGGGAAGAACACAAAATAAATTCAACCAATCAGCATTTATCATCTAGCAATCTCCAGGGTACAGGTCTGAGCAAGTACTAGGGTTGTAGGGATGTAGGAAGCCTCAGATCCCTCCCTAGGATGCTACAGTCAAGTGAGGAAACCTCTTCTCCTCCTAAATCTGCCTTTGTAACCTGTAATAACAAGGTCAAACTAAGCCAGGGATGCTCTTTTGGAAATAGGAGGAGAAAAGGACTTTTAAAAAGCGCATTCAATTATCGCAGCACTGAGCTTAACCAAACCCTAGATGATGGGAAAAGCCTGGTGAAGAGAGCATGCACTTGAAAAAAGAGAAAAAGAAATCATGAAATACGACTCAGGCCTCCAAGTAGATGAGAAACAGTGAGCAGTGAACAATGTCTCCCTGATTTCCCACTCCTCGCCCAAGAAATGATCCCTGCATCTGGCCCGGACAGCCAGAGAGGGAGAGCCACACTTCAGACTTCACCTGGGACTTAAGCAAAATCCCTGCACTTCCCAGCAATGACAGACACCTCCCCTCTGCTTGGCAAGCCACTGCCAGCTCTCTGAAGCACCCTCACACCTTCACACGCATAGCGTGCAGGCCACAACACCCCTCCACACAATTAGAGTTTGGACATCAGTTCTGTGCACGTCCTTACCCTGTGTCTCCCAAGAAAGTTTACATGTTTCCTCTTCCCTCGTGTCTACAGAAAGCAAGCCTGCTGGATGGCATGGGACTGCAATTCCCACACTTAGAAGAACTTGAAGGAAGGAGACTCAAGAGTTCCCGGGCTAGCCTGGGCTATATAGTGAGACAAAAAAAAGGGGGAAGAAGGAAGGACAGAAGGGAGGGAGGGAGGGAGGGAGGGAGGAAGAGAGAAAAGGATAAAAGAAGGAAGGAAGGGTGAAAGGGAAGAAAAGAGGGAAAGGAAGTGGGGGAGGGGAGGGAAAGGGAAGTGTCTGTCTTAGGGTTTCTATTGCTGTGAAGAGACACCATAACCACGGTAACTCTTATAGGAAAACATTTCACTGGGGTGGCTTCCATTTTCAGAGGTTCAATCCATTATCGTCATGGTGGAACATGGTGGTGTGCAGGCAGACATGGTGCTGGAGAAGGAGCTGAGAGTTCTACATCTTGACCAATAGGCAAACAGGAAGTGGTCTGACTCATTGAGCATGGCTTGAGCATATATGAGACCTCAAAGCCCGCCTCCACAGTGACACACTTCCTCCAGCAAGGCCACACCTCCTAAGAGTGCCACTCCTTCGGGGGTCATGTTCTTTCAAACCACCACAGGAAGGAAGGCAGGAAGCAAAGGAGAGAAAGAAAGAAGGAAAAAAATGGAGTGGGGCAAGTGAGAAGGAGGGAAAGAAAAAGAAGGGAGGAGGGAAGGAGGGATGAATAGAAGGGAAGGAAGGAGAACTTAAGATAGAGAAAGATCATTGATAATGTGTCCTTTCCTTGGCGACTGACAGGTGGGCCTGACCACCCTTTCCACCCTTGTCTGTGGGAGGTTGCCGATCACATTCCCATGAGTTAAGCTCACCACAATACAACCCAGGTGTGGCATTATGCTCCCCCCCCCCTCGCCTTCCTCTCCGCCCCCCCACGCAAGCTCAGTAGAACCATGTCTATCACTGCAGCCATGGCAATGAAGTCAACAGAACTCTACAACCAATAGCTGGACCTATGGGAATGGTTCTGGTAACACACGCTCTCAGAGATGGGAGGGGGGGTCTTCGAACCTCACAGGACCTTCCTCTGGCTGTCTCGAGATTCCAGGAGCCAATCCCTCCTGCCCCAGCCATACACTGAGAAGTGCTATATGCTAAGAGCTAGCAGGCTGGCCCTTGACTTGCCCATGCTCCTGCAAGTAACGCCGTCCCCTGAAACACATCCATTTCCCCCACTTGGTCTTTCTATGGTCGTCTGGCAGCCTCTCGGTTTAGGGTGATTACACATTCTCTTTACTGGGGAAGGCTATGCAACACCAGGATGACTTGGTCTTCGCTGAAGCAGGAATCATTTTGCAGCCCTAACTGCTGTCCCCCAGCTCCAGGCTATCCTGGGAGCCTTGGGTCTCCACACTACATATGCCACCATATCCTACTGATGTAGCAGAGGAAGTCACAGGAGGTGGGGAGCGGGGAGAAAGGTTGGCCCAGGATCTCAGTGTCTCCTCCTCCTCCTCCTCTTCCTCCATCTCCCCCTCCCCCCTCCTCCTCTTCCTTCTCCTCCTCCTCCTCCTCCTCCTCCTCCTCCTCCTCTTCTTCT